CTTTCCACAATTCTTTATTTACTTATTTATCTTCACAATAAGGAAACATTGTTTTGTAATTAAAAATACTTACAATATTGCAAATGTGTGTCCACTGCTTCCCAATAGGCACCATGCTAAGCAATATCACCCCTTCTCAACTGCATTCCTCTCCCACATGGTCATTCTTTTGTAAATATTTATTTACTTGAAAGTCAGAGTTACAGAAAGAGAGAGAGGGAAAGAGGGGAGACAGAGAGAGCTCCCACCTGCTGGTTCACTCCCTAATGGCCACAACAGCCCGTGCTGCGACAGGCTGAAGCCAAGAACCAGGAGCTTCATCCGGGTCTCCCACATGGGTAGCAGGAGCCCAGGCACTTTTGCCATCCACCCTCTGCTGCTCTTCCCCAGCCATTAGCAGGGAGGTGGGTCAGAAAAGGTGCAGCCAGGACGTGAGCCAGTGCCCGTGCGAGATGCCGGCCTTGCAGGTGGTGGCTTTTCCTGCTACACCAGAGCACCAGCTCCCCGTGCGGTCTTTGTTGTTGTTCCCAGTTGAATAGTGCCCCTTCCTCAAAAACCCACATCCATCCAAAACTTCAGAACGTGGCCTGATTTGGAAATAACCAGCGTAGGGTGAATGGATCCTGGGTGAGGGCGTCCCTCACTCCCACGATGCTGCTCTTCCAGGAAGAGGAGCAGTCACAGCACAGAGACACAAAGGGAAGAAAGCAACAGACAGCTGCGAGCGGGGCAGGGGGCAGCGTGAGCCCAGGACTGGCGGCTTCTTTCCAAGAGCCCGTGGTTCTTCCCAAGCACCCGTGGAAAGAGGCAGCCATGCAGCTACCACGATCGCAGGCCGGGGCCTCGGAACCGCGAGACAACACACCCCTGTTGTTTGAAGCCGGCTTGTGCTCCTTTCTTACAACGTTGACAACACATTCTATGCTCCCCAGTTTCTGCACGGATAAAGGGCGGCTGAAAAGGTTGGTGTGTAACGTTCTGCTGATCATTGTAGAGAACCCTGCGCACGGAGATAGCTGTATTTGCTACTGTGATAATGGGGAGGCTATGAAAAACGTTCTCATGTTAGAGCAAGATCAAATGCAAGGGCATCTTTGATGAGTTCTACAAGTAATTTAGCAAGCATTTAATTCGCACTTTTCCTGCCACCTTCAGAACCTATCTCATGTACGTTTGAATTCAAGGTGTTTTCAAAGCAATCAATGTGGTTTCTAACAGCTTTGATGGGAGACGTGTCTGCTTAGAGTGCGGTTACAAGCCAGCTTGTTTTTTTGAGAGGGATGGGCACATCTCACCATTTTCTTCTTTTCTTTTTTTTTTTTTACAGCTATATGTTTGTTTATTTGAAAGTCAGAGTTACAGAGAGAGAGGGAGAAACACAGAGAGAGATTTTCCCATCTACTGGTTCACATCCCAAGTCCAGGGCTGAGCCAGGCCAAAGTCCGAAACCAGGAGCTTCATCCAGGTCTCCCACGTGGGTGGCAGGGGCCCAAACACTTGGTCCACCTTCCTCTGTTTTCCCCAGGCTGTTAAGTGGGAGCTGGATTGGAAGTGGAGGGTCCAGGACAGGAACTGGGGCCCATAAGGGATGCTGGCATTGCAGGCTGTGGATTTACCTGCTGGGCCACAGTGCTGGCCCCATGACTATTTTGTTTTCAGTGGAGTTTCTGAATGAACACCTGGTCAGTGGCCCCAAGATTCAGGAGCTGGCAGAGCTGGTGTAGGCTCAGCCCAATCCCCATGACTCTGCTGGAGCCTGTGGTCCCTGCCTAAGCAAGGCCCCTGGCTCAGGGCAGGGACACGGTGGGTGGAGGCTGCACAGGCGAGTGATGGCGGTGTGCGGCTCGTCTTCTGTCCCCCTACTCTGCATCTCCTAGGCTTGTCTTGGCCCATTCTCCGCCTCATCTCTATAGCTCCCACACCCCACGTGCCCCTGTTCTGCGTCTTCTCTGCCTTCCAGCCCTTGCCGGGAAGCGATAGTTACCACACAAGAGCATCCGAGTCCTGCTGTGGCCCAGTGGTAGAGTCATCTTCCTCTCTGGTGTCCTCTTACTGCAAGAAACGAAAGAACAAGACAATAAACCAGAAAGACAAACCAGTGTTGCCCAGCCCTGCAGCACGCTGGCTCCGTACCTCCCGCCCCGTTCCAGCCATACACGGTTGCTAAACTAATCAAATCGCACATTCGTTTCTGTGGTCCACACTTCTCCTTTCATATAAGCATTTATTTCCAGTGTGGTGCACTTTTGTGCACACTGTAAATGACTCTAATATATTCCAATGAATATATGGGAATTTTCTTCCTTCTATTCTTAGTTGTTCTCCAAATAATTAATATGTTTTCTTCTTGCATTCCTGTTGAGGCTAGACTATAAAGACTAAGGAAACAAGTTGAAACACATGTTTTACTGCTTCTCTTATTTATTCTGGCAGAAAACAGCACGGTGGACACACGTGTGCTGAGATGACATCGTTTTGCTGACGTGAGCTGGATTATTTCCTTGGAGCTCAAACTGGAGTTTCTGAAGCCCAGGGACCCACTCATCTCCGGCCTTGACATTGGCACACAGCTCTGGTTTCTTCATGCGTCTATGTTCAGGGACGATACGGTCACGTGGATGTGTGATCTTTCTTAGCTAAATGTTCATTTGTTAGAAAAATGTGAATTAACACACCAGCAAAGCTTACTTCAATAACAATGCTCAGTTCCTGTGACACAACATCAATACCAGGGGTGAGAAACAGCATCCCGTTGAGCTTCCTGGGAGCCCAAAGACCCCCAGGTGCTGAGACAGGACAGCATTTACCGGCGTCTTCCTGAACTCTGGGATGTGCTTCATGGAGTGCTGATCCACGCGTGAACCAATTCACAGTGTGGCTTCACTCCACACCAGTTCCCTCCCCAATTAGCCAGCCACTGACGCTCCCCTACTGCAGGGGCCACATTCCTTATATTTTCCTTCAATAAAAGACTGACGAATCCCTTAGCTATACAGAACATATCACACACCTTACCTTACTCTAGGGACTGAGACGCAGACATAACTCACTCCACAGAGCCCCTGCTCTCAGAAATATACCCCAGTGCAGAGACAGGAAAACAAGCGTGCAGGTGCACGAAGAAGCGAGAAGCTACTAGTGGGACCCAAACACCAAACACCATGGCTGGCATTTTTGTGGTTACGGGGGTCACGGTGGTCAGGGAAGGCCTCTTTGACATGGGGACATTGAAGCAGAAGTCCACAGTGAGGGAGGAAGAGGGGAAAGAGTTGGCAACCAAGATGACACTGGGGCCAAGGCTCTGCACGGGAGAATGGGCAGAAGAGCGTGAGAGACGGGAAGGGCGCAGCAGAGGCAGCAGGCAGAGAGGGAGGTGGGCAGTGCACTCAGGAGCCTGGCCGTGGGCTGCACGGGGAGGGCCAGCTGGGCCACCATGGGGGACGCTGCCTCACTTCCCAGAAGGCTGGAAAAACCAAGGGGGCAAGGAAGTGATATGATCTAACCAGGCGTGTGTGTGTGTGTGTGTGCATGCGTGTGCATGTGTGTGTGTATGCGTGTGCATGTGTGTGTGTGTATACGTGTGTATGCTACGATTCTGAGGGTGGACGGAAGCTTGGAAGATCTCACACAGATGCAGAAGTGGGGGCAGGGCTGGGATGCTGCAGCTTCCTTACAAACTATGACAGCCGGGGAGGGGCAGGGCTCCCCAGGTGACGCACTGCCTCCCTGCTCACACGGGGACCCCGTGAATCATCCTTGCCTCCCTCCCTCTGAGTGACAGGAGCCCTGGAACCAACCCCAAAACAGAAGCAAATTGGAAGTGTTTGTGGGAACACTGTTGGCTTTTCTTTGGAGCTAAAACCCAATAGTGTCTAAGGAGGCGACTGAACAGAGCAGAGGGACTGGTGGACACAGACCGGTCTCTTCCCCGCACCGCAAGGGCTGCACAGACCCAGAGGGGGGATGACCAGGACCACACAAGCATGTTTGGTCGAGAGGTGAAAGAGGAGGGGGTCAAAATTGCCCCCTTGGGGCCAGCGTTTTGACACAGCAGGTTAACCTGCCACTGGCATCCGATCTGCCCCGCTTCTGATCCAGCTCTCTGCTAACGCTCCTGGAAAAGCAGTGGAAGATGGCCTAAGTGCTTGTGCCCCTGCAGCCACCTGGGAGTCCAGGATGGAGTCCCTAGCTCCTGGTTTTGGCTTTGCCCACACCTGGCTGCTGCGGCCATTTGGGGAGTGAATCTATGGATGGAAGGCCCCTCTCTTTTTCTCTCTCTGTAACTCTGCCCTCCAAATAAATAAAAAACTAAAAAAAACACCCTTCTTTCTAAGGGGTACAAGAGAAGTCAGTTGTCCACCAGTATCCGATGTCCAGCCAGTGTGCGAAGCAGAGGTCCACGCCGCCTGTAGGGGGTGGTAACTGTGGCCAAGCAGCATCGGGGCGAGTGTGCTGACCACACAGATCCAGAGGGCAAGGAGAGGCCGCCTAGACAGGGTGAGCCGAGCTCCTCAACTGGCCGACAGACCGCGAGTGAGCCCCAGGCGTTCCTCTCTGGAACGAATGGATCTACTGCCGCGTCCGCGCTGAGTGCTCTGCCCTGGGCTAGCTGCGGCCTCCCAGAGTGAGATCTGAACGTCCTCTCAGCTCAGGGGAGGCAGCTGCTGTGTGCAGAGCAGCAACCAGGAAGAATGAACAAGATGTCAGGCTGTGTGCGGAAGGGGGTAGACGAAGCATGGATGAGTAGGAGCCGTTACAGCGCGAGCCCCTATATAATCCTTAGTAACACCCCAGAAAGGGATACATGGGAAGGAGGGGGTGGGACGCCCGCGAAGCAGGGTCAAGTGGCCGTGCCTGTGTTGGACTTCAGAGCAGGGAGGAGAGACAGCAGCAGAACCATTTCCTGCCCTGGCTTCCGACAATGGATGGTAGGATGTGGTGTGTGCAGACTCGAGTCGGCGTGAGTCATCTTCATGCAGGAAATGATTGCAGAAGACGGAATGTGTCACGACATTCCAGGGAAAACAGTTCAGGCCGGAGACCGGGACGCTTTCCTCCTGGGGGGGGGGGGGGGAGGGGCTTTCGTTCCTGCAGCTGGCGAGCAGCTTGAGCTGGAACCAAGTGTTCAAGAGCTTTCGGGAGTTCTCTGCCAGCACATCTGGCCGGAGCCATCAGCGAAACCCGCGGAGAAGCGCATTTCACGTCTGCACTGCGGGAGTTGGGGGGGTGGTCTTCTGCCTCCGCGAGCCCAGCTGCCTTCAGGAAGCCTCCACACAGCACCTGCTCGGTGCCCTTCACCCCGGCGCCCCCAAGCCCAAGGCGTCGGCCCCTGCGGGGCACTCGGGTAAGTGTGTTCCCCGACACCGCGGGCTCTCGCGGCTGTGGGGAAGCCTCCGCGATTGGAGTCACGCAGAACCGGGTGTTCTGATTCCTTCCTCTGCGCCAGCGGGTTCTTCACTGTGTGCAGCCTGCCTGGATCAGCTCTGGGGGGCCGTGCCCTGGTGGAGGGCGGTGGTGGGGGTGGTTTTGAGAGCAGGTGGTTACATCCCAAAGCAGGAAGCCAGAGACTGGGGGGTGGGGGCAGGCTCAGTGCTTTGTAACAATCTTCTCACAAGAACAAACCAGAGACCCAGAAAAACTACTGTGGTTCCCATCACAGGCACATCCCCAGTTGGCCCAAGAGCCAGACCCCAGGCCTGACCTCTGACCTCTCACATCACCCCCAGGGACCAAACTCCCAACACAGACACTGTTGGGAAACTAGCAAATTCCTAAGGGGTGATCAAAGCCTGTTAGAGTTTGCTGATTTTATTTTATCATTTTAAAAAGATTTTCATTTACTTATTTGAAAGGCAGAGTTCCAGATAGGCAGAGGCAGAAAGAGAGAGAGAGAAAGAGAGAGAGACAGAGAGGAGAGATCTTCCATCCATTGGCTCACTCCCAAATGGCTGCAACAGCCAGAACTGGGCCGATTCCTGAACTCCACCCAGGTCTCCCACGTGGATGCAGGGACCCAAGAACTTGGCCCATCTTCCACTGCTTTTCCAGGTGCATTAGCAGGGAGGTGGATTGGAAGTGGAGCAGCCAGGACTCGAACCAGCACCCATATGGGATGCTGGCATTGCAGGCGGCCTCCTTACCTGCTACAACACAGTGCAGGCCCCAAGTCTGCTGATTTTTAAAGCACACCCAAACCACAGCAGGTAGGAAGCACACAGCCTGGGGTGAGCCCCACCCCAGGCAGGAGGGAGAGGCAGGCAAGAGAGCTCCTTGCACCACTCAGAAGCACAGCCTGACCCCTTTGGATCGATTACTTCTCAACTTTTCTGTTCCTGTTTTTGGACTTTGGTGGACTGAAACCCCAGACAGTGAAGCTGAGGGTAAGGAGGGAAAACTGCAGCTGATTTTTGCTGGATGCAGATTGTGAAGTGTCTGCATTCTTAGGAGAGGCTCAGAACCCCTTAATAGCTACAGTGTTTGTCAATCAATAAGGTTAGACCAGAACACGGAAGAGTTTGCCGATTTTAAAACTAGGTCACAGAATGTCATTTTACTGCAATGAGATGTGACATTAGGAGGACAATTCAGATTGCACCTAGTGTTGGAGAAAGAGGCTCATTCACAAAATGAAATCCACCTGTTACAGGCGTGGAGAGACATGGAAACAATGTGTCCTCCACAAAAGTAAACAGTAGACTGAAGTGCAAGGTGCGGTTTCTGGTGGGCGGGGCAGAGTAATTTCTCCTTAGCAGGTGCAGGGTCTGTGACAAGGCGCTTCTCTCTCTAGCATTCAGAAAGGACAGCGCGTCCCTCCACCTGCACTCAGGGCATGCCTAGCTGTCGTCTCCACTGGGTTGGAAGCTGCTTGCTCCTTTTCCTCACGGCCCAGCTGCCTGGTATAGGAGGTCTGAGAGAGGCCTGCGGAATCACTCATCCTCACGAACTCTGGGCTTTCTGAAAAGGGCTTTTGGTTTTCACCTCCTAGTAAGAGGAGGTTTTGTTCGTGTTCTTTATTTGTTTCCATGTTATTCGCTTCATTTTGTTTGAAAGGCAGAAAGAGGAGAGAGAGAGAGGGAGAGGGAGGGAGGGAGAGGGAGAGGGAGAGGGAGAGGGAGAGGGAGAGGGAGAGGGAGAGGGAGAGGGAGGGAGAGACCTTCGATCTGCTGGTTAACACCTGCCTCCACCCCAACACACCCAGTAGCTGGGGCTGGACCAGGACAAAGCCAGGAGCCTGGAACCCTATCTGCGTCTCCTCTGTGGGTGGCAGGGGCCCAAGGACTTGAGCCATCACCTGCTCCTCCCAGGATGCCCAACAGCAGAGCCTGAGCTTCTGGTGTCGGATGCTGGCCTCTAAAGAAGCATCTTCATGCTCGTTCCTCATGTTGCATTCTAAAGTTGCACTGTGTATTTGTTTACTGTAAAAAGATCATATATTAGAGATTGGGCAAACTGGATCTTGGAAATCACCAGATTTATCCAAATTTAGGCACCAAGTAAACGGCGAACCTTTGACCATCGTTCAGCCACGTAATGGCAGTTGTGAGCCCATGGCAGGACGCAGGACGCGGAACTGCTCATGGCTGAGAACCTAGGAACTGGAGAAGCAGCCACAGGGGCCCTAACTGCTGAGCCCCGGATCTCCCTTATTAAAGTAGTCAAGTAGGCAGACATACAGGCTAAAACTGATTAGGCTTGTGAGCTGCAAGACCACGCCTTCACCACGCCCCTGTGTGACCTCATGCCCTTACCTGGCCACACCTGGGTGCCCACCAGCCAATCAGGTTAATTAACCACTCCCCTTTGGAAGTGGGTTAAAAGCCTGAAACAGGATGTGTCCCACCCTTCTCTTTCCCTGGCCTCTTCCCAGGAGGGGACTGGCGGTAGCCCTGCACCTCCAGGGCATGTGGTCTTCGGGCCACCCACCCTAGGCTTCCTGGCCTAGATGCGCCTCCACGTGGCTGGTTCCTGGTGCTCGATATGAACCCAGATTTACCCCTCTCTCTCTCTTAGATAAAGCTCTCACTCTTCTATGCATCTTTCTCACTAAATAAAGGCTTAAAATATATCATGCTGTCTCGGTTATTTTTGCCGGTATTTAGAATTCTTCTCTAAATATTAGACAAGAATCCTCTCAGGCTTATTAATATTGGAGATTGATTAATAAGAATAGGGTGATATCGTATGGCACCCCAAATTCCGGCAGCATTTGTGGCACCCCAGATGGCACTGTGAGGAACCTGAAAGGGCCACATTTCTATATAAATTTTAGGGGGTCATTCCCAATGTCGGCAGCACACAGACGTTCGGGGTCCAAACCTCTCACGTCACAGTGCGGCCCGGCCGGGCGCTGGTTCAGCTATGAAAGTCGCGCTGCGGCATTCCCCGCTCGGGTTTGTTCTGCACGGCCTCTGCGCCCCTCCTGCCCTTCACACCATTCCTAAGCTGCGCTCTGTCCTGATACGGGCTGCCTCTTCCAATTAGTTCAACAACGGCTGAAGAAAGCTTTCGCGCTGATCGTTATATGAAAGGAAATAGCTACTCGATTGGAACCAGATACCCCTCGTGCTTCTTTCTTCCTCTCGTTCCAAGCGCGTTCCAAGCCCCCAGCCCCTGGCCCGTGTCGCAGAGCACCGCCTTCCCGCTTCCCTTCCCTCTGGCTGCTGCAGACACAGGGGGAACGCAGAGGGGGCAGCCAGAGTCCAGCCATGCCCTGCATTCCAGGAAGTGTTTTCTGACCAGGACATCTGCTTCCAGGTCACAGGGGTGGGGTGCCTCTGGGATGACCCCCCCCCCCCCCGGGCCTGGCTCCGCCCTCCACGTCGGGCTAGAAACACAGCCCCTCCAGTTGGCTCCCATCGAGGCTGGTGGAGCTCCTGCCCTGGCTCCTCCCGGGCCCCTGCCGGCCCCCGCTGTGCTGTGTTCTTTCATCACCCATGTAACACATTCGCTGCCTTCTCATCCCTGTTTGCAATATCCAGAGAGACTTGATCCCCTGGCTGGACACCGCCTAACACAAATCAGTTTGTCCTCCAAAATAAAATGCCTTGCTGAGAATTACATGACGAGGATTTCAGCCGGGCCACGTCTTTCTCCTGGGGCTGCGCCCTGTCTAGCTCGGCTGATAACCAGTGTGGCATAAAAGCTTGCTGACTGCTGATGGGAGGCTCTGTGGCTTCTGCCGCTGTTGGTATCAGGGAGCCTCTGTGCTCTGACTGCCAGCAGCCGGCCAGCTCTGAGCCAACAGGCCCAGACAGGGGACTGAACGCTTTGATCTCTGCTTCTGGGGGGCTGCTGGCGATCCAGTCTCTCCAGCGCTGTGTCGGAAGGCTCAGCGGACAGTGATCAGCCTTCCGATGGTCAGCAGGACTCAATTTGGAGATTTCTGAAGGCGGATCTAGGGAGACTTAAAGACGATCATCTGAGAGAATGTTCCCCGGGAGGCAGCTGGCCAGGTAAAGATGGATCACAGACTTCCTGGGCAATGAGTGTTGCCAACCACGACCAGTTTTAATAGCAGTTTTCTTGGTATGCATATACCCATTACCACGTATCACTTTTTGACAACTGAAAATTCTGTTGTTACCACTTTTTAAAAACCCCGACTACCTTGCACCTTGTACCTCCTTTGGAATAGTTCATTTTTGTTGGAACAAGAGAACTAGAGCCACGCAGCTCAACATTTCACCTCTGAGGCTTGGGGGCCATGTCAGAGTGAAAGCAGTCAATATTGGTTAATAAGCCAGATCAGAGCTATTAGCCGGCTTTACGGCCTTGGCATACTTTACTGTGTGTACAGATCACTCACGAAGACTTGGGCTTCTGTCTTGTCCAGACAATGCCTTACATGGCCATTCAAATTAATCATGTTGCGGAATTTTCTTATGCTTAAAGCAGCTGGCTCTATATTGACTCTGGAAATTAAATTTACTCCACGGCACTATTGACAGCTGGGTCTCCGGCTTATTTAATGGCTCTGAACGGAGACGGGGCTGTATCGTGTGCCTTCAAGCAAAATGTTGATAACTCATCATTTTCATAAAAAGTGAAAAAGTGCTTTATCTATAAACACGTCACCTCTCCGTGGGCCAAATCAATGTAAGAGGTGTTTGCAGTCGGCTGCACTTGCCCCGGAGTGAGAAGCAGAGGGAAGCTGTCCCAGGCAGGGTGTACAACAAGTGTTTGCCGCTTCATTAAATGTGTAGTTCCGGAATCTCAATGTGTTTTAAGGGGCAGTCTTCGTGCCAAGGAATTTAATCTGAACATAATGAAAATTCTCATAAATGTGTATGTCCAAAGTCCATCCTGGAAACACGGTTCTGGAAGTCTACACTGGCTTATTTCAGG